CTTCCTGAACCGCGGTGATCCGTGGTCCACAAATGGCCCCTATGCCACGTTCACCGAACACCCCATGGCAGATGCTGATGAGAAGATCGTGTCCCTCTGCCTAGTAAGGAAACCCCCTCCCCTATTCTAGGTGGCCTTTGAACAGCCGCTGAGGCTGGATAAAACCTTCTGCTGCATCTTTTCAAAGTAATTAAATGCAAGCAATTAAATCAGACACACAACTTAGAATTGCAAGCTAAGTGGCCCCCTCCTCCAAATTTTCACCCTGTAGGGCAGCACAACTATTTTCCTAATGCTCCAGTGAAGTTTCTCCTGATTAGGCATCATTGGGTTACACAAAAAAGAAGCTGAAACTTTCAAACACACACAAAAAAAGTAAAAGCATGTAAAGTTCAACAGAAAATACATCGTGCTGCTACTCCTACTTTTGTTTATACAACAGGCAGATGCCTAACTTTGCACCTAGAACTGCAAGCTAAATAAACAAAAGCTGTAGCTTCTAAATTTAAGTTTTTACTTAGATACCTTTTTCAGTGGTTGCTTTCCTTTGAAGGTTTTTACTTGAAAATGGTATGTTCAAGTAATTAAACTTCAGCACATCAACTACAAGAGCAAGAGAATTGTGGCCAGCAATAAGCAATATTTGCTGCTCATAAATCTGGGCACCTAGTTCACATGTTTAAGGTTAAATGTGGGCAGTGTTCACATATGACACTAACTGCATCATAAAAGGTTAAATGTCAATGTGGAAGTTATTACAGAGTATGAAATCCTAGACAACTACAGGTTTAGTATTAATTCTTTACACTTTGATATCACAATGTCTTTGCCTATGAGCTCAAAATTAAAGACAGACAGACAAACAACATCACAGTGATCTTTTCTTTCAGCTGGAAAACTTTAAAACTCAACTAATTCAAGCCGTGAAGAAGGCTCATAAGGAGTCACCATTGCCAGGAAGAGCTAACGGAGTTCTAGTGCTGGAGCGTCCTCTTCTGATTGAGACTTACCTGGGATTGATGTCCTTCATCAACAACGAGGCGAAACTTGGCTACTCCATGACAAGAGGCAAAATTGGATTTTAAGATTTGTTGCATATAATGTTTTCAAAGCAAAGCTCTCTCCTGGAGAGGGAGCACGGTGTGTGGCAGGGTGCTCGATAATCAAGAGGAAGATATGGGAATCAAAGCAGTTGGTTGCAGACCCATCAGTCCACATCGGTATCTGATTATTATGAAGATAGCTAGGGTGCATGTCAGATTAATCTGAAGGGGACACGAGGTAGCCTTGTTCTTGCATTTTACATCTGATTTTCAGCTCTTCCTGGTTCATATGCAAGGCTAGTGAACAGTGGCCTCCCCTCTGCTCTGTGCTCTTCCCTGCTAACTAAGCATGACTGGTATCTGCTACAGAAGCTCCACACAAGTATTCAAGATACAGTAGCATGCTCATGCCATATTACAATAGTATCTTATAAATAAGTTCAAATTATGTGGCATGTTTGGGATCATTTTGTATTATTCAAAGAGGTATTAGTGGCTCGAAATTACTGTAATCTTAACATTTTGTTTAATTCTGTAACAAGAAATTTTAAAGCTGTCAGTCATTCTTTAACGAAGCACTGAGGTGGCAGATTTGGTTAAAGGCAGACTGTTCTACATCTCAAAACCAGCCTACCTGAACTATTACTTTGTAAACTGAAGTATATGGCTACATAAGTTCATTATCTTTTTGTAATAGGTTCCTCCTCTCAAAATTGAATATAAGTGGCAAGTTTCTCACATAGTTTCTTGCTGCAGACATATAATAAAGACACATCTTGAAACAATATAGCCAAAAACCTCACAAACATTTGCCTTCAGAGTTATTTATGCAAAATGCTTTTTTTAATAAAGAATTCTTCTTTGTTTAGATTTAATCTAGATTTCTTAAATCTACTCTAGTTTGGGGCAGCAGCAGAGCAGGACTTCCTAAGGAGGACAGATTAAGCTCTATATATCAATCTTGATTTGCATAATCTTGCACTTGACCTTACCCAGACCTTGAGAATTGAATCAGTTTCAGACGCAGCATAAGACAAACTACAGCCAGCATTGCTCAGGAGGTTGTTGTAACAAGCTTTTTCCACAGTGTATGATGATCTATATGTCACTTTACCACCTCATTTCCCCACTACTATAATGCTGAATAAAGTTCTTGTGTAGCAGTGGTACTTTTTTCCTGAACTGAAGTAGATGTTTCTGAAACTTATGTAAAGTAGAACTAATGATTGAACAAATAACAATCTGTCTGCCCCCTCAATGCATTTCCTAAGGTATTTAACTCTAACCTTTGTTGATCTCATAGCAACATTAAATTCCAACTTAACTATCGTTCTTTATTCTTCATTTTGTGGAGATTGACAATCTCAACTTAAGCAGCATAAGCAAAAAGCATGCAATAAATTGCCAACTACTGGGCTTTCTCTGAAGGAACACAGTGGCTGCCTATTCGGAAGAGGCACAGGAGCTGGTCCACCCTTTTGTTCCTTACTGGACTGTCCACTCCAGTTTGACACTAAGCAGTTGTTTGCTCTCTTCACTGTGGGGTTAAAAGCTCCCACTTCAGTTCCTTATTGTACAACATGCCAGTTCTCAAGGAGCAGATAAAGACAGCAGATAGAAGAGCTGCTGCTTCTCTGCAGAAAGCAGCTATCCTCCTCGAATAGATTTGGTGTAAAGCCAGGACTACTTCAGATTTATTGCAACTATTAGTGGCTAACATCTTTGTCTAGAAAAGAAGAGTGATTACTATAAATGATTTCATTTGCTTTTTGAACAAAGGATTCATTTTAGCAGTAATGAATTCACTAGGAAAAGTGGTTTGATGTATCTATTTCTGCTACAATATCTAATTCTAACAGAGAGAAAGATCTCTTGTCTTGCTGGGGTAGATATAAATAGTATGCTGCTACATACAAATGCGTTTCCTTATTTTGGGATACATAACAGCTAAGCAATCATGTCACTGACAGTTGTAGTCAAATCCAGATGGATAGTGAAAGACTTCAGTTTTCTGTCAGAACTAGAATGGAGAAATGCAGGCTTATAGCTAGAGTCATGCAAGGTAAATAATTATCAAAATATTTATTGGAAATTATCAAATTTAAATAATGTCTATACATTATATACACAGCTACAGTTTTGGAAAATAAGTTTCATAGTTGAGAAAGTTCAAGAGAAAGTTCAACTACATTAATACTGAAGTTTCCTTAAAATCCAGGCTCATTCTCTAAGTTGTAACATTCAAATACACTCACAGTGGTTCACACAGCAGAGTTTATGCTCCTTCAAATAAATAATTAGTATCAAACAACTTCAGATAGGTCAAACTCTATTGTCCATTCTCACTTTCCCTCAAACTTAGCAACATTTTCAAAATTGATTATTTTGCCTCTTCTCTTTCTAAGTAACATACGCAAAAGTTATCCTTACTCAGAAGTGCCAGGGAATCTCCGCTAGAATGCCAGCAGAGAGAGAGGATCTGAAAGTCACCTGTGGAAACAGAACAGTTTGTCAGCAAGGAGTGGGATGGTTGACTATCGTCTTGGGGTAAGTCACACAGATTGCAAGATGCTTGCTCTGCCTTCCAGGGCGTTTTACTTTTGATAAAAGGGTTGATTTTTGTCCTGCTATACTAGACCCAATCTGCTCCCCAGTATTCCAGTGTACACAGGCAGCTGCAGCACTCTCCTTTCCCCCTTCATGTGGCAAAACTCTACAGTTACTTTGTGCTCCACACACAATCGTAAGAGAGCTTGCGGCCACATCATTTTAGAGCAAACAAACATGACAGGACTGTCTAGTGGTGCAGAGTTCCATAACCTGACAATCTAGGTGCTAGCTGTAAAGGAAAAGAAACTTGAAACCGATTTGTTTCTTTTCTGCTGAAAATGAAAAATGTTTGTGTGGTCTAGCTACTGTCCTAAATGACTCACTGCAAGACAAAACTTTCCATCATGCAGGCTGAGTCACAGGTCAGGCCCCATATGTTCTTAGGCACATCTATCTTTACACATGAGATTAAATATGTTCATTCCACCTCCCACCTCCTGACTACTGCTTTGTTATAGTTTGTTTTCAGAATATCCCAAATCCTTCTGGGCATTTAATAGGCTTTATTTCAACACCTGCCCTTCCGGATAGCTATTGTTTCTATGTAAATAAACTGAACAAGTTTTGAGAAATACTTCAGCGTATCATGCGATTAAGAGAACCATAAACTATTTTAACCCGTGTGCCCTGTTCTTGGTATGTTTTCCTATGTTTACTATGTCTTGCTCTGAATGCCTTTTCTGTAGATAGAAATACTTGTTTTCATGAAGCTCCAAGGGCATTTCTAAACCTTTACAGGACAACATTTTGGCCAATTTATAAGCAAGGAAAATATTTTGTAAACGAAAAGCCAAAGCTGAGTTGGGGAGGCTGTTGCAGGCAGCCTTACCTTCCATTGGAACCTGCACTGCCACGCATCCAGCTGGGGACCACAAGTACAGTTTGCCATTGCCTGTGCATAGGGCAAGTCGAGGCTGTCGTGGATCCCATTGGAAGGACTGGACTGCACACAGCTGCTCCAAGACTACAAACAGTTTCAGCTTCTGAATGTCCCAGATCCAGACAGCATTAGGAATATTATCTATCAGAAAAGGATAGAATTGCCACAGAAATATCAAAGTAAAAAGTAAACATGCATATCTTTAAGAAATAGACATTAAACAAGATCAAGCAATACACAAACCAATCAGGTACAGCAGAGGCTTAACATCACTGCAGTTTCACCCGACAGCATCTTAACTTTTGTTTTGCTTTATCTTCCAAGCCTTCACTAACTTTTATGAAGCTATTCACAATTATGCTGCCATTTGTAGGTTTTTATCTGTGAACCACAAGTTGAAGTAAACAGCCTTCATCTCCACCAAGAGGCAAAAATAAATGTTAATTCTATAACCTTATTTCTGCTAATTAAAACCCCACTACTATAAGCTTGGAGAAATTGCCTTTTAAGGAGATAGCTCCTGTAAGTAAAGGAAGAAAGAGTGGTACATAAATACGCACAAGTACAGAAGAAATTAAAGCAAATATTCAACAGAAACCCAAGACCATGAATTAACACAACAATAAGCAGGTCAGCACATAATACATTATGATGCTAGAGGACAAACGCAGAATTCCTCTGTAGCTAAAAAGTGTTCGCAAAATAATGAGTCCACTTTGAATAGGGCGATGAGTCTTCCCATGGTGCAAACTAACTTAATTGTCCTTGTTTATTGTATGAAAATAATATCATTTACATAACAAATGGATTTCTCCTTTAATAAGGGTGCATTAGGAACTTACCATTTTTGGTTGCCAAGAAGCAGTTATCTGGACTGAATGCCAGCATTCCAATCCCAATTTTGGGATTTGCCTTGTCCGCAACTGGTTTGACACACTGTAAAGAAACTGGCACCTCAGAAATATCATCTGTAATTGGAAATACAAGTACTTTAGTAAGTCAGTCTGGATGGACAAAGCGTTTGCATGTTAAAAAATTGTATCTCTGAAATGATACGACAGAATTTTACTCTTCTGCAAAAGACTACAATCAAAGAAAACCTCAATTGCCTTAAGGCTTTGCATCTTTACACAGTCAGCTTACTACTCTTGCCTTCTACACAAAGGAGGAGCCTGAAATCCAGGAAAGTGAGATTAAACTATAAAAAAATACTCAGATCAGTTTTTCACCGTGTTAACTAGTGTTTCAAACAAACCCCAGTGAAAGACAAATTAGTAATGAAATTACAGCCCCATACGTAACGGGACACTAAAAGATAGAAAAAAAAACCCCATATATTCATCACACATTTCCTATGACCTCTTCACTATGAGTCTACTGCCTGAAAGTAAGTCTGAAGCACTGCTAGGAATACAGCCTTTTAGACAAGTCACTGTCAAATCCCTTTCTTCTTGCTCAGCTTTTTCATTCAGCTTCCTACTACTACTCTAAATAAAGACAGCAGGAGTACCTGTGGACGACACCCTGCCATTTTCTTGTTGTAGGAATTGCCACATACTAAGATAAAACTGCTAAAATAAGATGAAGTACCACAATTATCAGCAACAGTCAAAATAACTCTAAGGCATGAAAATATTGTACAAATTCAGCAAATGAGGAAAAAAACTCACACAATATTAAAGCATTTTTTGCAAGAAACCCCAGCACTGAAGATCTGCCTGCTATCTCTCCTCTGCCCAAGCAATGACAGTTCTCTTCTATAGCATCTCCCTACTCTTTAATCTACCTCCAAAACACCCTAAAGACAACACCCTGTCTACTAGGGCCCTTGCTGCCCTTGGAAATATTTCAGGAGACTTGAGCAGAGCATCCAGAGATCTATTCCCGTATCAAAAGACAGATTTGGCCTGTAATGTTTATTTACAGAAACACTCTCAAGTGAACTCAAGTGTCTCATTTTGGTAAACCTTGGCTTACATTTACTGTGTGTGCTGAAGAGAGAACTAGCCAATGCTCTCGGAGGGAAAGAAAGTCTCTCTGTTTCAACGGATGGGGATTTCTCCACTTCTTTATACACAATCTACAAAGAAACAAGCAAGAGTTCTGCCGAACGGCTTAAGAGAAGGGGAGATTAGCAGGTCATCCACATCCCACTAACTTATCTTCAAGTATACTGGAATTCAGCATCCCCCAATTTCAATCAGAGAAAGGGTTTTGACAAGCAAATACCAAATCTGGCATTCTCAGTGAATCATTTGTAGTTTGAAACCATGACCAGAAAGAAGAAAAACATGCCCACACACTTCTGTGATAAATTAAAGTCTACAAAGAGTACAGCAGAATATGCCTCATTCCTGAAAGTTAAATACAGCAGCACAATTGAATGTGCATACTCCACTGAACTTGAAAGGATTTCTCTATTTTGCTTGTATTCACAAATTCTCATGCAACTCCTCAAGCACAATCTACAGATTAGCAGGAAAATAAAGAAGACTTTCCAGAAGGGAATGGATTTATTAGCATCTTTCAAACAGCAGCTCTAACAAAGTGCTGCTATTCAATGGATTTTGGACCTATACTTACAGTCTTTGGATTAGTAATGATTGCTGGATGCTCAAACTCTGTGATCTTCTTCCAAGTTACATGGTTCAAGATCCGCACCTAATTCAAAGCAAGCATTGCAGGAGAGAAGGGTTATTAGCTCTGTCATTTGCAGAACTTTTTCATAAGTTTAATTTCTCTTTTCTATTTCTTACCTTTTCATCATAGCTGCCAATTGCCAAAAACTGACTGCTGGGACTCCAGGCAATTGATTTTATGCCCAGCGACCATTCATAAGCCCGATACGTGGACAGCAGTCTGCCATCAAGGGAGTACAGCAGGATTTTATACTGAAATATAAATTGGTTCATTCTCAAGACTAACAATATCATTAAAAGCCACAGAGGCAAAAAGCACCCCTGCCAAATCCTCACAGCTCAAAATGCAGCAAGTTAAATACATAGCTGCCTATGCAATGTTTAAAATCAGAGTTAAATATATTTATAATTATATTGGAAAGAATGCTAATGTGTAAAACTTTTTAAACGATTCACATAGACTTGTAAGGACCCCCATTGCCAGTAGAAGTATTATATTTGAAAGTTTTGTTGATTATGTTTGTTAAAAGGCATCACAAAATAAGGTTTCTTCAGCTACTGCTTTACACAGAGCAGCTATAAAAGACAGCTTGAACTCTAAGGACACAATGTGCTTTTTCTCCTACCTCCAGACATGTATCCCACACTGCCAGAACACAGCCATTGGGAGCCCATTCAATCCCAAACAAATCCTGAGTTTCAGTGTCAAAATGCTGTTCCCAAAAGAAAACAACAAAATCATTTACAACATTATACTAAGAAATACTGTGCAGCTAACTTCAAACCAAAGCCTCAATTTTATCTCTTTAATTCCCATTACAAAGGTAACAAGCTTTTATACTAGCACAGAAGCAGATTTTAAAAATAATATACTACATTCACTACTACTTTGGTTTCCCTTTCCAGAAAAGGAAAGATGTTTAAGGTATTTAAAGGAGCATGCAGGGTACAGATGTAGTCTATGCAAAAGCAGTGGAAAGGAAGGACATCTCTTACCCTCAGGAGCTGCCAGTCACTGCACACAAAGAGGCTGATGAAGTCTTTGCAGTCACGTCTTTCTGCTAATGCCATATAGCGGCCATCCTTAGTGAAAGCTATTCCTGGCAACGAGAGAAGAGATGATAAAAATAATTATTGAGAGAAAGAAGAAGCAACTAACTCAAAGAGGAAGCAAAAGGAAAGGAATATTAGCTTCACAAAAGATTTGATCACAGATCAACTTTTTTTTTTTTTAAAAAAAAAAAACAAAACTATTTGCTTCTAGGTATTGGACCCTCTTCACTCTTATTGTGCATGTAATACATAGTTACCTTTGATATATGAGATATAATTACACACGAACCTCAGGCAAGTAGGTACTAACTACAGTTATGACAGTTTAGATGTGAGATTCCCTTTCAAACCTTTTAATATGCACAGTAATGATAAAAGTTGTTTTGCATTAGTGTTTTTCCTCACTAACTATTCAGCTTCTCTTCCAAGTGCTACAATTGTTCATTCAATATCTTAAAGCATCTACAGAGGAGAACACAACAAAAGTCACTACCCCAAGGAAGTAACTATGTAAAATCTTAAGCAGAAAATCTGTGCACCATTTTATGCCAAAGATGGACCTTCAATGAGCACCCGACTAACCCATTTCCCACAGTGTCACTCCGGTGGTTACTAAGCAAACCCTCCAGGCACAGGCGGCCCCAGGACAGCCCGCCCGCAGAGCCTCACTGCGGGCTCCCTGCTCCCCTCCGTGCCCATAACTTCTTTTCTCTTTGAACCCCCAAAGAATCTTTTGCCCTCTGCCTCCTCCTGCCAAAATTCCTCAGAGATCTCCATTCCAACCATTTCAACAGTCTACCTGATCCACGTGCATGAGCAGACGGGGAGGAAGACATTTCTCCTTTAAAGGGTTTGCCTTGCTGTAATGTATTTTCCAGGTGTTCTTGCTGCCTAAAATCTAGTTGAGTACCATAAAACTTGGCAGCTTGCTTTGCAAGAACACTCTTTTCGCTGGCACGTGCAGAACAGGTATGTGAAGCACATGCAAACCTCCTCGTGGCCCAGGGAGAACGACCGGCGCAGAGGAGAGCTCAGCGTGGCCCTTGCAGGAGGTGACACCCTGTCCTGACACAGACACACGGCCCAGTGGCCGAGCTCACCTCAGCTGGGACCTGCAAGAACATACCCTGTTCAGGAACTAGTGCTTCTTCGCTATACATAGATTTCATTTTCCCTTTTTTTGCCATGTTAAATATACCATTCCTTGTTAGATTTGAGATACTTACCCTGCTGACAAGCTTTGGGATACTTGATATAAGATACAGATTTTGTACACAAGGACCACACAGTTATCCGCAGCTGTTGCAAAGAGAAAGACAAGGAAGTATCTGATCTTTTTTAATCTACAAAAAGTAGTAATAAAAATCCAAATAAGCTAATTCAACAATGAAAAGTAGAGCAGTGTGTTCTGTGCTTTAGTTAAAACTTACAGCTATTCTAAATAGCACTAACTGGATCCTAAAATAAATAAATAATAATAATCTTTTAGGAATAATCATACATCTTCCCTTCAGACAGTGATGCTACTTATTCAAAATTAGTATCACAGGCACATCACATACCCTAGGGACATATGAGAGAAAGAAAAACAACAGGGACAACAACCTTTTGTTAATTTAAATTAAAGGTACTGAGAGTAGCAGAAATCCAGCTAACCAATGGACCACTGTACAAAATGCACTTTCAGATGAACACACACATTTTGTCACAGCATCTGGCAAAGAGAAGAAATTTCTTTTGTTTATGAATGGATTCAAAGTTGCTGCAATTTAAGAATATGATATTCCTTGGGACAAGACTAGTAAGTAGGAAAACTTAGAATGTGCCCTTCACTTTTAAAGTGTCTTAACAGCCAATTTGCATCTCTCTCCTCTCCTCACCTCCACACCTGCAGGTGGTTGCCACATTATATAATTGCTGCAAGAACTAGAAAAGTGCCAAAATACAGTATGCAAAGCACTGTATTAAATACCATGTTTGGGATATTTAGGGATGCTCATGCACCCATACAATATCAAAACTACAAAGACAGTCAGCTGCAAAACAAACCTCTCCACAGCTCCTCAAGGTCACAGCCTGCATTCTGGAAGCTCTGGGTTGCCATCTGCAGATTATTCGATTAAAAACAAATACTTGCTCTCCCCTAGCAACAGCAGCCACAAGACACATGTGTATTAATCAACATGTCATGTGAACCTTTGCATTTATATCTGAAGTGAGGACTGGTTCCAGTTTCCACATTTTTTCTAGGGTTTCCTATATTTTACTGAACCAAAAGAGAAGTAAGAGACTCTAGGAGAAACAGGTAAAACTATTCTTGCAATAAAGAACCACAACTGCAAAGCTACCTTTTCCAAACCTACTAAACAGCAATGCTAGTTCTGATTTAATAGATTTATAATAGATAACATAGATTAATATAGATAATATAGATTAATAGATTTTAATAGATTTATAGACTGCTCACTGCAACAGAACTTGGCAAGTTTGATTTTCTCTTCTTTTATAAGTTTTTGTTCCTTTACTTAAGGGGTATGAAATCACTGCTAGACATTTTAAACAGGCTCTGGAGGGATCCACTGAAGAGCAACATTAATCAAGCTTTATCCCTCCAACTGCTCACTTCCGGACATATAAAAATACAGCACTGTTAGTCTGCTTCTCATGCAATATTTACTTTAAAAATACCAGCACAATGCCTACTCGCATTCTTCCCCAACAACTGCAGCAGTGACATGCTGTTGGTTCCTATTAACTGCAGTGTTCAATGTCCTCGCTGCTGTTCCTCCCCAGACCAAAACACGCAGTGCACAGAACACATTCTGCAGCCACTTAATAACAGCTTAGCAACTGCAAGCTCTGAATGCTAAAATTCAGGCCATATTTTTTCCTGACAAAGGCATTCTGTTCTACAGTTGTGTTACTGCTTGGCCTAACAATGCAAACGAGATAACGATTCTTTCACTGCTAACAGAAACTGAAACAAAGAACCATAAAATGCTTGGGAAATGAGAGAAAAGAAAAAAGTGAATCACTGTAAAGACTTTAAGAAATTGTATTGCTTGCTTGCCTGCCTCAGAGCATCTGTGAGGAAGGACCTTTTGCTTTTGAAGCTAGACAAGAGATTGCAGTCAATTAAGCCAGATACTTTGTTGGTCATTTTAAGGGATGCTTTGTCTTTAGTGCAGAGACTGGATCAAGAGAAGTTGCCCATCTCAAACCCAAACGATAATGGTGTCTGAAAACTATTCAGCTGTTGTTTTGCAGTGGAAAGGCAAACCAAAAACGGAAGCATTTTTAAAATAGCCTAAAAACAGCTGAGAAATAAAAAGTATTTCGATGGTAATGTGATAAACAGTCTCCCATGTGGGGTTCAGGACTACATCCCGATTTTGACAGCTATAGGCAGGTGTAAGCTGGTGATTTTCACCAGATAAAAACACACTTTTAAACAACCTTCATCTCAAATGACTGTCAACTTTTGTCCCAGACTTGACTGGGTCACAGGGCCTCCCTACATAGCTGTGTCTGTCAGCACCGGACTTTGGAAGATTATTCAGAGCACATTCCTCGACAGATCCCTAAGCGGAGCTAGAGAAAATATAACATAGGTAGTTAATAAATACATCTCCTAAAAGAAATACTACTACAAGAACAACAACAATAATTTTCAAAGTATTTATAATCAAACACCAGAGTTATAGGGAACCAGAAGTTCCTTTTACTTTTCCTGTATTTTGTCCATGTTGTCTACAGCAGTAACTAAGTAAAGGTCTTGATAGGTCTTGACATTTGTGAGCCTACAGCGGAGCTCACATGTTGAGCTTACGAATTATGAGTAATTAGCTGGCGCTTTTTGAAACTGTGAGACTACCAAAGCCAAACTAAAGTGGTGACATGGAGCCTTTAAAGCCTCCAGGCAAACCCTGCACTCGATAACGTACATAATACACCAACGTTAAGTATCCTGACAGTTTGTCTCAAGCACTGCTCACGTCTGTCCTGCCAGACTGTGGATTTAACACACTAGAGAGTAAACAACCCAGGCATTGGTGTAACCCAGGCAGCTGTCTGACACCGGCTAATTTAGCAACCTGTTTACAGCTGGAAAGAAAACTTATCCTGACACAGATGCCAACTTGGCAAAGGCTTAATGAAATCCTCTAAGGTCAAAGCAAGTTCTGTTGGGAGGTAATAAATACTCCCTCATCCACCCCCACACGCACGTGCCATAGGAAACTCGCTCGCAGCACACAGCATCAGCCCTCGGTGTGGGCTGCTCAGACTGTAACACTCCTGCCCAGCTGGTAGACGTGCCTTCACCGACCCCGGTTCAACACCAGCCTCATTTGATTTGTATTTTTTAAACCGCCTTATGAGGATATATCACTCCTGGGAAAACATGGCTCTAAATGTATCATTCCTTGCAGTTCATACTCAGATAGAGGGGGTCTATGTGCATGGTCCATTTTATAGCCAGAAAAAATATATCCTAGCTGACATTAAAAAAAAATCTTTGCCAGCATTAAATATCCTTGCCAGGTAACTCCATGAGACAATTCCACTACACTTGCATCACAAGATAAGCTTCAGTTGTAGGCAAATTTCCTCACAGGCTCCCTTGAGTGCACAGGCATTTACAGCGCCAACCCCTGTCTGCATATGAAAATGGAAAGTTTCGAAGCTTAATATTTGTGTTCAGCATTAGCGAGGGTTGTAGTGCAACAGCCTGGCATGTGAAATCCTCTGCAGTTTTGAGCAGACTAGATACAGCAAAAAGTTCCTTATTATGTTCTTATATATCTTTGAGTCTTTCTCATTGTGATGAGGAATATCAGTTATAACCCCAAGACTACAAAACTGAAGATTCAGACTTCCACGTGCCTTCCAGCAAGCCATGGCATCCTCTGTACACATCCAGCTCTGATCTGGATTCTAGAACACAGCTCTTAACCAACCGCCATTTACATGTGTTTAATCTCAACCTTGCAACATCAGTCTGATTATTGTGTGTGAAATTAAGCACTTCTGAAAGTCTTTCCAGCATCTGGATAGGTCAATAAGTCTATCACTATGCATTTTAATTCAATAGGCCTTCTTATTTTTTTTTTCTTTTCTTGAGCTAGTGAGGCATTTGATTACTAAAACTACTTTAATGAATGTCAGTTACGCCTAAATCTTTCTCAAAAAAAAAAATCACTTTAAAGCTAAGTGACTCTTGACTACCTTTTCAAAAAGCAAGAGAACAGTGACTAAACATTGACAAAATAATGTCTAAACTGGAATTAGGCTAAACTACATCTGTGGACTTGGGGAAACTTTATCTGTGTCTTTACCACCACTACAGCTTTAAGAGCTTTAGGTTATTTTAGGAGGCAAAGGGCAGACAGTAACATCTGATACTGTCAAGAGCAATCATGACTTCACACTTACATGAAACTCCGTTGTATTGAGGATGTGACGACCATCCGGGCTCCAGCACGAAGCCACCAGTCCCGCTGAGCCCTCGTCGATCTTGCAGTGCCACTCTGGCTGTTCTAAGGACCAGACCTAGGCAGGAGCAGAAATCAGACAGTCTGCATTAAATGAAGAGATCACCAAGCCCTCTGCTTACAAGCACGCACCACGGCTGAGCAAGCAAGCTCCTGCATCGCACACGAGAGGTGAGGAAACCCCTGGAAGCCCGGGGCCATGAAGGACTGGCGCTGGATCCCACTACAAAAGTAAGCTACACATCTCTGTGCATTAACACAAATCGTAAAAGAAATTTTCTTCTGTGTCAAATTTTTGAATATTCAATGCTTAAAATAAGGGGGGTTTTTTAGTCCATTCGTAAAGTCTGCATGAAATTATTTCCTACTGAAATAAGAAGCTAAGATGCTTTCCAGTTTTGTTTTAAACAGCTTTTATTCTAACTGTTTTCAAGCTAAGATTTTTATCGTGGTTTCAAACATAATGGCATGCTGGGTCACCCTCAAGGCAGCAGCTACTTCAGCAAAAGGACCGGAGCAGCCGTTGCCATTAAGAAGCTCCCAGACCACACGTGACTCCCACAAGAGCAGGTAGCTTCTCCTCTGTGTTCGTCCTTACCTGAACGATGCCCCTCTTGTACATGGCGCATAACACAAAGAGGGAATCGGACGACCATTCTATGTACTGGATCTGATCCAGGCAAGTGTACAGCTGAAGAATCTGGAGGGTGTTCACATCTCGGATGACCAGACGGTACTGCACACACGAAGCCTGACCAAAAGCAAAAACAAAGCTGCGTTCATACATCGACACCGATTCCAGAGACCCGTGCGTTTCCCTGCATCGTGACAGGCTGCTGTGTCGCTCAGGTGTTTTAAACGCCATGAGGACTGTTAGAAAGACGTGGCACAAGCTGCGCACTCCTCGCTCTCGGTTATTAAGGCTTACCCTGACCAAAAAGCCCTGCCAACGCGGCCGGTTTCCGCAGGACGGGCAGCCCTG